CACACACACACACACGCCTTCTGTCGACGTTCGCTTTAGTGCCAGTGGTGTATTTTGCTTTTCCCACAGATTGCACTCAACCCCCCACCCCAAAGAGAGGCTCCTGATTGGCATGGATCGGCCCCCGAGACGGCTTCACACACACTTATTACCATCGCGGCGGAGGGTGTGTGTGTGTGTGTGTGTGTGTGTGTGTGCAGGAGAGATTTACAGTGTTGGCATCCGGTCTGGTCAAACGGGTGGACGGCTGCCACGCTCCACCACCAGCTCCAGATAAATGTGCCATGTTTTGTTTTCCTTTTCAGAAAGCCCATGAAAAGAATTAGCAAGATGAGAAAGTAGCAGGCAGATCTCTCGGGGCGTCCATCTGTCCATTACTGAAATAAAAGCTGTCCGCTCCGAGAGGGAGGCGTGATGGAGGGATGGAGGGATTTTGTTGACTTGATAAGACGAGGATTTGACACTGAGTACGGTGAGTAATCGAGGGACTAGATAGACAAGCAGATAGATAAATAGATGCGCAGAAAAGGGATCAGGGAGGGAAGATCCGTTCTGTCGTTGATGCGCCTGAAATTTAATAATCTCGCACATCGTGGATCTTTACATCCGACGCCGTCGAATCTTGCAAAATCAGCGCGACTCCCTTCGAACGCAGCCGTTAATCAGCAATAAACAAAAAGGAAATTAGCCGGAAACGCACGGATCAAAGGACCGACGCCGCTAATCGCGTGACAGAGACGAGACTCGCTAATTATAGAAACAATTAGTCCATTAATGAATTAGTCAATCGACAGAATATATACATCAGCGAGTCGTTTAAAAATAGAATGTTTTCCATTTCAAACGTAAATATTTGACGCTTTCCTTTTCGTAACGCCGACTGTTATTTTCTGGTTTTTAAACTGTTCGTTATCTCCGGGTTTTGTGTTCGTTTGTGCGCCTGATGTTGCTGAAGTCACCCGCCACCCCGACCGGGTTTCCATCTGGTTAGGTGAAGGTTAAACTAATACTCGTCTGTGTTTGGACAGAAGAAGCAAGAACTGTGACCGAACCGTGGGAAACTTAGACGGATGTTTTGGGGGGTTTTTGGACAATTTTGCATTCATGCCGCTTACGTCGGTAGGAAGTAAGAAATTCTATCAATGTACGGGCTAATATATATGTCTGAGTTACACTGAAGAAGAGGCTCAGTGTTGATTCACTTTGACAAAGCTTGACTCCGCACCGCTGTCGTCTCTGCTACATGTGCTGCCGACAGTAAAGAATGGAGTCAAAGCTAAACCATGCAGTGACACTTTATCTCCCTTTCCTGTCGTATGCTCTATAAAATAAGGCTTTCATATTCGTGCATATCTGGTATTGCCCCAGTTTCTATTGTCCCGCTGTGGAGCCCAAACCTGCCCGAGATCCTTCTGAACCAACAACTTCACATCAGCGGTGTTTTGTTTCCACTTTCTGGACGTATTCAAAACTTTACTGGAGGAAAAAAACAACCCAAACTGCAGCCGACTAACTCAGCCGATGCCATTAGTGTGGTGTTAGGAGCAGTGCTGGAAGTAAAAAAAGAAAAAAAGCAATCTGCTGCTCAGACTCACACCTCTCCCTCCGTCTCCTTCGCAGTCTGTCTCTCTCCAGCACTGCCACAACCTTTCAGCAATCAAATTAGCTGCACTCTCTTGCCCAGAATATGTGCCAAAGGAATCAGCAGTTGGGCTATAATTGCTACCAACTAATAATGTTAACCTTTCTCTGGCATATAAGCCCTACTTTATTATCAGTGCAGCACAGGCCAAAGGGATGAGGGCTCGCCGGGTCCGCCAGCTGCCTGCATGCACACGGCTGTGGACTGTAATAAACCGGGAAGCGTCCGTCTTTTTCCACGCGACCTCCTCAAACCGAATTTCTCAAACGCGGTTAACCGAATGTTCTGAACACCGGGGCATGAATTTTCACGCATCTGTTCTGACTTTGCTGTCCTTTTTTTTGGAGTTTGGAGGCTCCTCGCCGGGTTTCCATCCATGTCTAAGCGCCCCGCCGGGCCTCAGCATCACAGTTTTTTTTTTAAGCCACAGCAGCTACAGTTGGGCAGATCGGTGGGAAAAGCTCGCTTGTTGGTTAAAACGTGAAAAATGCAGGTCTGAGATTCTTTAGCCTCGCTTCGAGCAGAGAGGCAAAACTTGACCTTTCCAACTTTCACAAGCTAACGTTACCTAGCAACCGCAGCCGTACCTAGCCGGGCGGATGCAAAAGACGTGTCGTGGCAGAAAACCGGAGGAAGCTAACGACGATATTAGCCCGGTCTGAGCTTTCGAAGCGCAAAGAAATGGCCGACTTATAGTCCATTTGGTTCATTGCGGTGTTGGATCCAGCAGCTTAGACGCCAAAAACACAACTGACTTCAATCAGAAATAGAACAAAGGAGGGTTTTTATGTTTGCCTGTTTGGTAAATGTGACGAGGAGCGGACTGCTACTGGACAAGGGGGGCAGCTTGTTGTTCTCTCAGCCTTTAGTTTAACTAATCAGCGCCGATATCTGCAATTTTTCAAGGCCCAAACAAAGTCCTGAAAGAGGTCCGATTGGAACAAAAGCTGCCCACGAGTTCATGAAGCAAAAAAAAAACAATGTTGAGAAAACAATTTGACAAATCCTGGCCTTTAAAGTTGATTTCTGTGTCGTGGCTCAGCGCCCAAACAACAACTTCTGCAACTTTCTGCTATTGAACAAAAACTCACAGCACAAAAAATAATAAAGACAAATCTTTAACGGCAACATGTTTACATCCCCTTTTTTTTTTTTTCAATCCTGCAGCTTCAAAACGTTTCTCACAGCTTCAGCCTTTAAAGAAAATAAACGTGTCAGACTTCAGTCCGGGCGCTGATAAACGCCGCTGCGCCCGGCCCTAAAACTGGCATCGCAAACCAATGAATGTCAGCGAGCAGTAATGAAGAAATATGCTGAAATAAAGACACACACACACACACACACACACACACACACACACACACACGCCCCATGCAGAGCTGAAACAAGCCGTAACACCCGACTGTGAGTTCATTGTTGGTGGTGTTTGCGTCCGCTGTGGTTTCATTGTGAGATCACTGTTCGTGTGCACATTAGTGAGCTTGTGTTGTGTTTATCACACTTAGGGCTTCTCTGTCTAATCATAATAGCATTCCTACAGCGACGTACAGTCTCACTGAATTATCTGAATACCTTTTTTTTTTTCTCTCTCTTTCATTAGGTGTAACCCTCCAAACTGTGGTACATTTTCAGGGAGGGGCCAATATCATCCTCTGCTGCTTTTAACTCGAACTCAGTGACCCACTAAATCATTTATACAGCACTAATTATACTATAAATATGGATAGAGGCAGCAGCAGCGTTATTAATACGTGAAACTACAGAATAAAAACAAACCAAACATATTTGGATGAAATAATCTCTCACTTTAAAAGATCATTTGGATGTAGAACAAACAGAGGAAGGGGAGGATAAGCCTTCTTTTGTTTACGCAGCTGATTGTGATACCTTATGGCTTCACGCTGATCACATCAGATGAAGGTCAGAGATTACCCAACCTTTTCATTTTGCACTCCATCCCTTCATTTGGACTTTTTTTTTTTCTCTCCCTTCACTAAAAAGCTCCGCTGACTCTCTCGGAATCAGGCCATGTGAGTTATTCTAATGCGGTCGGATGGTTAAGTAGGTGACAGGTCAACGCGCAACATCTGGACGCAAACGCATCCAAAAACAAGTGGAGCAGCAACACCCAGACCCTGCTGCTGCTGCTGCCGCGGTGCTGCTGCTGCTTTCATACCCACGATTAAAGGCAGATTAGGAGCCGGGCAGAGAGCCGAGGAAACCCGGAGAGGTTAGGAGATCAGAGGCGAAGAGTGGATGATAATCTTGCCATAACATCAGGATAGGTCAATGTAACCGGATTAAACTGAGCTAATGAAATACACCACAAATGGAGGACTGGGGGGGAGGAGGAGGAGGAGGGTGGACCAGAGATATGGATGAGAAATCCAAAATAAACATTAAAGTAATGTCAAAATGAAGAAGTGAGCAGCTGATGTGTGTCAGTTGTTGGGGAGGACAAAGCCTGACCGGTGCGCTGCAGAGAGCTGCAGCTGCCTTCATGTCACACACGGTTTACAAAATAAGAAATAAACATCTGAAATATGTCTTCATGCAAACAGCGCCGGTGTTAAATCTCCACCGCAGAGTTCTGCCACCGCATCCAGGAGCGGCCGTTTCAACAAGTACCGAGCCGGATTCAGAGGCATTTCTCCGCGGCGACCCCCCGCCTGCAGCTCTACCTTCCCCCTAAAATACAAAATTATTTCCACTGACATTTCCCCCAATGCAGCAAAGCGCGCTCCCAAAAGCCGATTTCCAGGGCAGAGGAGGGGGAGGAGGGGGAGGAGGAGGAGGAGGGGGCGTCATGTTTGGAGACAGAGAGCGCGCACCGCCCTCCCCCCCATCAAAAAAAAAAACTCAATCCGGAGGCGCGCACACGGGCACGGGCCGGCCTATAGCGGGGAAGCCGATTGGCCGAGGCGCAGCTCCATCTGCACACGTGACCTGCCCTGCTTACAATAAATAAACAGCTATGGAATAATGTCTAAAAGCAGCCCCGGTGGCTCCAGCCCGCACAGCCTGGTCACCAAACATCCCCAACACTCACACAAGTCCCAAACAAAGTGAGCAGGTGGAACACCGGGAAGCACGGCCGGTACCGGAGCACAAAGTTGGAGCGGAATCATTTTGGATACGTCCGGTGGGAGGCGGGCAGCGCCAGGCAGCGGCCGTGCGCAGCAACAAAAAAAAATGACAGCTTCATGGAGACCCTATAGGCGCTCCGGTGGACATTACAACCTCGGCTCTCTGCTCCGTGCGCTGCCAAAAGCCAACCGAAAACACAGCGTTACCGGCACCCCCCGGGGCCCCGGACCACGCCACACACACGCACACACACAATGCCAAGCGAGCTTACCTACACAGTGAATGAGTTTGTGCCTCCAAGAGTCAAGTTCCTGCCGAAAGCCGCGCCTCTCTATCGTGCATTGCTGCCTTTTGCACAGACTCGCCATTTTCTATCGGCCCCTCCCGTGGGCGCGCACATACTGCTGGGTGCTTCCCTGCGCGCACGTCACCGGTGGTTTTTATTCTAGGGCTGGGTGGAGAGCGGTATGAAGGGGACGGGGCTGCAGCATCCCCCTTTTCTATAGCGCTCGTTTGTCCCACCCACCAAAAGCGCCCCCTCCCCTCCATTTCTCTCTCCGCCAGCATCTCTGCGCGAGGATGAGCTGTCATTGGTCGATTAATGGGATGTTTGTCTGTTTTAATGTTGTGTAGAGTGCAGCACATGGCGCCCGTGCTCCAAATTTACCGTGGCTTAGAGCTGCTATGTGTGTCAAAGGGCGAGGGTGTGCCGGGGATTTAAAATGCGCATAAAGACACTGCATTGTTTAAATCAACAGATGTGTTACAGTGCAGCTCCCAGCGTGGTGGTAAATAAACCGGGGACGGGGCCGAGATGATCACGGCTGGAAGAGGAACTGTTAACAAAAAAAAAAACTGCTGGGGTATCATTTCACGAAAATAAAAGCGCCTGAAGCAACGAAGCAAAGTGAGACTATAGCTGAAAATTCTGACCTCAATAATACCCCGGTGTGTTCCTGTGACTTCTCCTGTTAAAGATCAGGGCTGCCTTTTGTTACCCAGTGGTCTGAAATTAATAAATACTCAGCTAGAAGGTTATTACTGCATCTGAGGAGATTTTTTCATAATAGGATCTACAATAATTAAAATGTCTTTTATTGTAAAAAAAAAAAATCTGAAACTCTTATAATGAAAAGTCAGAAATAAAAACACGTGATGAATGACAAGATGTGTAATCTGTATTCAACGAGCACTTCACACACACACAAAAATACAAACTCCAATAACAGCATTCAGCCCCACAAAAATAAAAATAAAAAACGAATTAGGCCAAAAACCAAAAAAGCACCCAACACATCCTACGTCCAGGCCTGTGGCAGGGGTTTTAGAAACACGGCCTCAGCTCCCAACCGTTTACAGAGAAAGTTATGTTTTCTGCAGGATTAATTTAAATGAAGCACAACACATAAAAACCAAACAACAACCTTCACTCCTGGATTACACCCTTTCCAGCAAAGGACTTCAGGACATTAAAGGATCACAGACCTGGAGCTGACGTTTGTTTTCCAGGTGTTCTGTCAATAAACAGGATTATTGTGGCCAAGAGAATTAATGTTAAAATAATATTATTTTTGCCTTTATTCGACGGGACAGTTGAAGGAAAGTAGGGGAAGGACCTGCAGCGAAGGGCCATGAGCGGGATTTGAACCCGTGGCCGCTGCATCGGGGACTGGAGCCCCTATTCATGGGTCACCAGCTCAACCAGGTGAGCTGAAGCAGCGGCCTAAAATAGTATTATTAAAAATAAAATAAAAATTATGACAGGCCTATCAGTAAAATTACATTTAAATTGTGTCTGTTTTTTTTTTTATTTTTTGCTAATTAATTAAATTAAAAATATGAGTGCAGGGCGGTGAAGACAGAGTCTGAAGCCATGTCTGTCCTGTGTGTCGTCCAACCACATAGCACATGATCATCATCATATGTGTATATTTAATCTGATATTTTACATTTTAAATAACACGATTGTCATCAGTGTGACACCCTCGATGCCAGAACGAGGATCTTTCTCATCATCTTCCTGCTGCCACCAATTAAAATGATAGAAACACTGAATTATGTTGAAAAATGTCTGCATCTTAAATACAGTTTCGAGGACGATAGATGGTCCAATGACAATCACTGGGAGGAGACACGAACACACATTTTGAAAACACACAATAAATACATTTTTAAAAAATCACAACCAGGTGCCTAAACTTTATTTAAGAACTCTTAAAACTGAAGTTTAATACGAGCAAAATAAGTCAGTAATCAAAACATATTCTCAGTAAAGATTCCCCGTCTTTAGGAAGTGATTTCACATCAGAACATCTTGTTTGCTTTGCGACACATCAGTCAAATGTTTGCTCACTGCAGTTCTGTATTTTTAGTTTACACGCCTCCATCTTTAAAAAAGATTAACAATGGAAATAGGTGCAGGATTTAATTGTCCTGTTTCATTGTAGTGCAGCAGCGTAGAGACGCGTGTGAAACAGCAAGTACCTCATAAAATAGTGTGGAAAAAATAGTATTTATTGACTGCTTCATTCAGTTTAATAGTATTTATACAGCGCCGATTCACAACAAACGCCATCTCGCAGCACGTCACACTGCAGCCAGTAAAATCTTGATTAAATTAAGAGTTTAGTCTTTATCATCGCTGCATTTTAAAGTGTTCCAATTATGGAGCCTCAAAAGAGTCCCGTATTTGTTATTTTTCATCACTTCATTATGAGTTCAGACACTCCACAGGAAGCTGCTCCTCCGTCGGTTTGACTGGTTCTGAGTCTGCCTGAGGGGAGGGAGGTGAACAGGGGGTCACCAGGGTCAGAGGGGTGAGAGGGGTCACCGGGGTGAGAGGGGTCAGAGGGGTGACCGGGGTCTTTCCTGATGCTCATCTGTGGAGTCGGCTTGAGTCAACGCCACACGGTTTTTGAAGTAGGGAGCCGACAGTCCACTGAGCTGGTCCAGACTGTACGCCAGGATGGGCTCTATTGTGCAGCAGATGTGGGACTCAGGTGCTTCTCAGAGTCCTCAGGTAGAAGCTGCTGGACCTTCTTGATGAGGTGTAGTAAAGTGAAGACCTGAACAGAGAACCCAACCATCCAGAGCTGAGCAAGTGGTCAGCGACGGTGGGAAGAACCCCCAAAAAATCTTTACAAGGGAGGAGAAAAAAGAAGCCGAGACAGAACCAGGCTGAGAACCATCTGCCCTGACTGGTTGAGGTGAGAGTGTGGATGAGGGGGAACAGAACAATAAACATTTTGGAGGTGGGCGATGCCAGACACGGCACATCGGAGGCACCTGCAGGGAGGATGAGCACAGGAGCTCCGGGGGAAGCACCGAGTCAGTGACATGTAATGGTGGTTATAATGGTATGGAAGAGGAGAGGAGCCCAGTGCATCATGGGAGTCCCCCAGCTGTCTAAAGCCATCGCAGCAGAACTCAGAGACAGCTAAGGTGAACCTGAGCAAGAGGAAAGTTTTAAGTTAACACATGTAATTATCTGGAAAATGCATGAAGTAGTTTTCATATTTCTAAAAGCTTTTCCACCACCATCACCACGCTGCCGTCTGTGTTCTCAACAAGCCCAGGAAGTGCAGCCACGTGGCACAATCTTGGCTCCCTATGCAAAATATAAATGCAGAATATACACAAAAAAATACAAATGCAGCATGCAAATGGTCTCCTGTCAGGGCTCGGAGAAAATGTTTAGAATTAAATGTCGTTCTCAGCCATGAATCCACGGTCTGGTCAGCTGTGGTTTTAAAGGACGATTGTCAGAAAGTGTGACTCGTACTCAGACACTTGTTTGACCAGTGACTATAAAAGCAGCTTCATTCAAATGACACAGACGACAAGAGGACAATGAGAACGGGCTGCCGGATGCTGCCATGTCAGTTAGGGCAGTAGCCCGGCACTAGAATGTTCCCAACGCCGCCATCCGTCATGTTTCAGACAGCATGGCACGACAGACAATCTGCCACATGACCACGTGTCAGCGCCTGGGCCCACGGTTTGCCACATCCGGCTAGTCCATCTGCGACATTGTTAGCGATCAGCTGCGGGCGACTGTTGATGAAATTGCTGGTGAGCCCAGTCAGAGAATCTCAGCTCAGACTGCGAGGCCTCCGTCTCAACGCCCACGCCGAGGTGTTGATCGAACGGCAGAACGGCATCGGAATCGGCTGCGGCGCGCGACTGCTCGCTCTTGTTGGATTCCACCAATATGGCTGACAGCCCTTTGCATTTATGAATCTAATTTTCTGCTGCACAGAGCAGATTACAGACATCCTGTTTGGTGTTGTACAGCGAAAACGCCATGCAGATGTCAAAGGCATATGCAGATTGGCCCATAAAAAAATAAAAATAAATAAAACGGAGAGTGGTCTACGGCTGCAAGGTGGCTCGGTGGTTAGCATCGCCGGTTTGCGTCCCGGTGAGGATCTTTCTGCGTGGAGTCTCCATGTTCTCCCCGTGCAGCGTGGGTTCTCTCCGGGTTCTTCCTCCCACAGTCCAGAAACATGCTGAGGTTAATTGGTGATTCTAAATTGTCCGTAGGTGTGAATGTGAGTGTGCTTGGTTGTCTGTCTCTAAGTGTAGCTCCAGCCCTCCCGTAACCCAAGTGAGGATGGATGGATGGATGGATGGATGGATGGATGGATGGATGGTCTATGGAGGCAGAGGAGTAAGGGTATGAGCTAACAACAATCTCAAAGCTGAACAATCAATGATCAAGATGAAATTTGCAGAACACAAATAACGTTTAAACAAAACAATGGGTGTCTTCTTGACCAGAACATGCCGCTGAAAACGTTCCCATCATGCCGTGCAGACTCTCCAGTAACGACCTGTGGGATGCCCCGGATGGACAGCATGATCCTGACCGCTAACATGTCAACTGGCCAGTTCACAGACTCCTTCAGGAGCAGGGGAACAACATTTTGCAGGCCAGAAGCGACGACCTCACTAAGTCTGTGGCGTTATGAAATGTGTACGGTGGACACACTTGCTGTGATTTCTATAACCTCACTCTAAATCTGACCATTATCATTTCCAATATAGTCGTCCTTGGTTGTTTTATGATGTTCATTCTGTTGCAGAGAGATGCTGTGTGTTGGAAATACTTATTCACCTATCTTATCTTCTTTGCCATGGTGGTGGCGGCACGCATAGCCGCAGCGCCCCCTTCAGGAGACAACGAAAGTGAACGTTTTGGGCGTCTTGTCTATCCCAGACGTTCATTCCACAAACCTTGCGGCCGGGAGACTTTGCTGGGCGTCAGGACAGTGAACGGTGCGGTGATCGGTTGTGATGTGGACAAACTACACCAACAAGGAGTCCGACTAGAGACGACGCCGGCAGTTACCCGAGAGAGAAGGAAGCG